ATATATCGAAACTATCATTTAATCAAAATTGCAAATACAATTATGTTATAATAAACTACCGGTATTTATTATTTACAGTTACCATAGAGAAAGACGACCATAGTTCTTCCCCAATCTGGCAGCAAGAGACTACAGTCACTGCTACTGCTACTACTTCCAGTAGTAACAGTAGACCTATTAGTAGTAGTAGTAGCCAATCAAAGAAGCTCAAAATTCAGAAGAGATGACAGACGAATACATGGAGTGGGGAATTAAATTGGCGAAAGCTAAAATAAGCAAATGCGAAAAACAAGAGCTGAAATTAAAGGAAGAAGTAGAAATGTTGAGATTGCAACAGCAAAAGCTGCAATTGGAGATTGCAATTTTAATGTCACAAGTACACGTGATTAATGAGCAATGAATCCACACTGCAATTTTCGAAATACTAATCAATTTTTAAAAAGTTAAATATTATTCATATTTATTAATTCGTAAACATTTCTTATGCACATATGATAATTTTTTAATGTACGACGAACGAACTTAGGCCTAATGTTAATTATTTTAATTTAAACATATTATTCAGTAACTATATTTAACAGATATTATATCCTTCAATTTAATTTAATATAATATGATGCTGTAATTAATAATATTCGTCAAAACATTAAAATAAAATACTGGGTATAACAGTTTATAAAATTGGTGTAATTCTTTTAGTACAATATTCATCATCTCAAAGCCTGTGCAATCATATTTCGAACGATTCTACCATCAGCTGCCACGGGTCCATTGTACACTTCCTCAACCTGATATTGCTGTTCGTTTATCTCCTCATCTATATCTGGCAGTTTCAGGTCCCTGGATATGTTGTGCAGCACCATTGTGGCAGCATTTACTGAACAAATTCTCTGTGGAGACGTTGGATTTTCCTCTTGCATGCACCTGAATCTTCTCTTCCAAAACCCGATCGTTCTTTCGATTATGCTTCTAGTTACTGCATGTATCCTGTTGTAACGACGTTGTTCTGGTGTGTTAGGATTGAAGTATGGCGTTAGTAAAAATGATCTCAATGCATATCCCTTGTCTCCGATCAAATGCCCGTCGACTTCTCCTCTTTCGAATGTTGCGCATAATTCGGAGTTCGGAAAAATCCGTGAATTGTGCGTCGCTCCTGGCCATCTGATTACAGCATTGATGAACTTCATTTCGTGATTACACACGACTTGTACATTAATACTGTGATATCCCTTTCTATTTACATACATAAATTCATTTTCGGTTGGGGCTTGCATTCGAACGTGAGTG